CGCCAGCGGAACCTGGGGCGGGGCTGCCGCCGTTTGGAATGCGGAGGGCAAGCCAGGCGTCGACGATGACGGTGGGGTCCGAGACCGGAGCTGGGGAGGGCAAGGTGGAGGAACGGGTCAGGTGGTTGCGCAGGCCGAGGCATGTGGAGATGACGCCGGTGGAGGCGGTGCTGGTGAAGGTGGTGAGAAAGGGATGGACGGGAGCTGCGGAGACGACAGAGATTATCACGACGGAGTATGTTAAAAAGTGAGGGTGTCCTGTGGGCAGCAAGTGTGGAAATTTAACTTTGGACTCCTTGCAGCGCTTGCCTCGGCTACTTTGTTCGAGGCTTGAATGCTTTTCTAGACGCTTACGCTTTTCCATCTGCACGAATTCTTGCTTGTTGCATGTTTGCTTCCACACCCACGCTGTGGAGGCTTTTTAGTATTTATCCCCAGTTCCGTTCCGCGATTGTTTTTGTTTCGGCATTGTAGCGGTGATGTGTGGTTGCTGTAGAGAGGGTGATTTGAGTTAGTAAACGATGATTTGGTTGAATCCTACTTTATGGCGGTCTTCAAAAGTCTGAAAACCGTGCTGCCGTAAAAAAGGTCTTCGTTCGCCGTATAGTGCAGCTTAGTCGTACCTCTCGTCCTTCTTGCCCAACTTCATCGGCCCAAACACGGTTCTTGTTTTGCTAAATCGCTTACATAATAGCGACCATGTTGCGCGCCCATGACCGTATTGTTTACGTCCATCGCGTCATTCCTGTTGCCATCCATGAGCTCCCAAAGACCTCCGCGACCCGACGCCATCATGCTCGCCGTGCAGAAGCTTCCCAAGGCCACGGACGCGGAGGTCTTTGAAAATAGTTGGTAACGGAGGAGTTTGCTGGGACTGTCTCTCGCACGTCCGAGTGCTCTTTGGACGACGCCTTCCTCGCTAGCCATGATGCAAATACCCGAGCCATTCTCCAGTCCCTGTGGTGCTAAGCATTCAGGACCTCCCAGGGGACTGAACAGTGCTCGAGATTTGTGCGATCGCCCCCATGATCGTTGCATGGAACCCCGTCATGATCACCGATTCTCAAAAAAATGTATCGCGTCCATCAACCCCATCATCCACAGCAAACCCCCCTCCCTATACCCCTACACCTCTTCCGACGCTTCCGTGGACGCCGTGGAGACGCTTGCCGACCACGAATTCTGCCGGATAAAGGGGCAATGGCCGTTGCTTCGTGTTTGAGATAACGGACGGTCCGTCAGCAGATTTCAAGCGGAAAAATTATTTTGTCAAAAATTTTTTGGTTAGCACCTGGTGCTTGATTTTTTTGAAACGTCGATAGCGTACATGCCTCCGTCGTGGTTTTAAGGGGCCCAATGGTCTAGTAGTATGATTCAATCTTAGGGTGATTGCAAGGTCCCGGGTTCAATTCCCGGTTGGGCCCATTAGCAGCGTGATTGACGCGTTTCCCGCATCGGAAACGCATCTGCAATGGCCGAGATACGTAAGATTTACGTTTGGAAGGTTTTGGACAGTATTCGTAATATGTACAGATGAGTCCTTGTTGAAAGTGATGTTTAGTATGTCGTGACACCGCACCCTTGCAACTTTGCAACGCCTGCCTACTACTAAGCGATCGCTTGCTCGCTGTTTCTGGCCTTAACGGACGAGCATATCTTTTTTTTTCTTCTTGGCCCGCATGGCGCTGAGCAATTGCGCTCGCTGGACGCAGCCAAAGCTTCCGGCCGGCGAAAGCTACGGCGATAGATCGAAAGGGAAGCATCGAAAAGTAAGTTCATAGTTCCAATGCTGTCAAAGCGGTAGGTCTTGCAGGCGGGTGGGTTCATCGGCTTCAGCTTGTTTTGTGCCTTGATGAAGTTAAAGACGTGTTCCGCTTGCATCGGAATTGAGATGGTATGCGAAGGTGTAGCGAAGAGGGAGGCGGAAGCGATGTACGACGTCACCGGGACTCCAAGTTTTAGGTCAAAGGTCGCTGATCGGAAGTTGTTTTCGGACGGGACGGACGCGCGCAGTCGGGGTTTCTTTGTTCTTTCTCGACTTACTTGTGTCGAGTATTGCCGGGGCTTTTGAAGTGCACTAGCTGGACGTCCGCTCGAGCCATGATGAAGCTCAACGACGAAAGAGACAACAAACTCTAGAGAAACAGCAAAGGTTCCGAGGTCTCAACACGCCGAAGCGAACGAAAATAACGTCCATGTCAAGCAATGTCGAGTTGAGAACGAAAAGAAAGGAAAAACTGGCCACCACGGACTCGAGGATATCTAACATGTGCGTTTGTATTCGGGGTTTAACGGGGGGGCCACAAAACAAGCAAGGGCCCAAACAGCGAAAAACAAGTCGGTAAAACATAGAAAAACCGCCAGAGATTTAACAGGATATTCGAGTTGGGGAAAGCGGGGATGCTGCAAGGGGGTGGGGGGGCGGGAAAGTCCTGGCAGGAAGGAGACGTCACAACGCGGACGGGGGTGAAGGCATTCCAATAAATAAGGTCGGTCCAGCCAAAAGGCATTCTTACATCAAAGCAGCCAAAAACCATTGACCAAAACGACCAGCCGCAAAGGCTCACATCACCGACGCAACCGTCGGCCTGACCTCCACAAAGCGCCACTCGGCCACCCGCGTTGTCGGGATCTCCTCCTCCTCCACCGTCACGCCCACCGGCACCACCGCGCCAGCCAACCACTCTGCCCACCCGCGCGACGGCCGCGCACGACACGTGATCAGGACGGCCACCTCGCCGTCGTAGTTGGGCGGGAGGGCGGCTTTGGAGGAGGCTGTGGAGGCGGCGTCGTCGTCCGAAGCTGGGGCCGGAGGTGGGGTGAGGATCGTCGGGGTGTTGGACTTCTTTTTGTTCTTTTTGGAGCGGCGGCGACGGGGGCTGGTGGGGAGCGGGCCGGAGTCGAGGGAGGGCGTTGGGGAGATGGGGCGGGTGGGGGTGGTGAGGGTGGTGGGAGTGGGGAGGTTTTGGATAAAGTCGCCGATGCGCTTGATGGCTTCGGTGCTGGAGGGGATCGATGGAAAGGCTGGTAGTAGGGCGGTATAGTTAACTTGAAGCCTTTAACAAGCAGAGGAGCCAAAAGATTATGCATACCATGGAAAACGTGGAAGCTATCCGTGTACAGCTGCAGCTGTGACCACCCTCCCGCCGCGACCGCATTCGCATGCAACCTGATCGCATCATCGGTCAACACCTCCGCCTCCCCCGCCTGAATAAGCAACGGACACATCCCCGTCAAGTCCGCATGGATCGGAGAAAAGATGGGATGCGCGTTCGGGATGGCGTCGGACCCCGCCACACACCGGTTCGCCCAGTCCATGCCGCGAGGATCGAGCGACAGGAAATCGCTGTTCCAGTTGCGACGCCACGAGTCGGCCTTGCGCTCGTTGTCGACGTAGGGGGAGAGAAGGACGGCGGCGCCGGGGAGCGGAAGGCCGAGGGCTTGGAGGGTGAGCAGGAGCTGCATGGAGAGACAGCCGCCGCTGGAGTCGCCGGCGACGACGATCTGCGAGGGGTGGAGGCCGTGGGTGCCGAGGAGACGGGCACGGGTGGAGGCCGCGGGAGAGGTGGGGACCAGGCGGGCGACGGGACGCGTGGCGGGGTTGCCGAGGGCTGAGGTGGAGGGGATGCAGGCGGGGTCCAGCAGCGAGAGGTAGGCGGCGATGGCGTCCTCGATGGCGCACGGGAAGGAGGATTCTGGGGCCAGACGGTAGTCGAGGGCAAAGACGGGGCAGTTGCTGGCGCGTGAGATGTGGGCGGTGATGCCGCGGTGCGTGCGAGGCGACAGGAAGATGTGGGCTCTATGGTTTAAGGGAGGATCGGTTAGTGGGACTGTGGGAGCGGAAAGGAAGGGAGCTGACGCGAGATCGCGTGAGAGAGAGGCGCGTCGATCTGGTAAAGAGGGATCGGACCAATAGGATCGAGTCCGAAAATGAGGTGCTTCCTTGTGTCACCCTCGGAAGAACAAGGACGGACAAGCCCCCCTCATCCGAGTGACACAAAGGAACGGAAAAACCTTCTTTTTGGAGGGGAAGGAGGAGAGGAGGGAGGAAACAAAGGAGGAGAAGGAAACAAAGGTCCTCAAAGGAGACTGACTCCTGTGGGGGAGGGGAGAAGGGGAAGAGGGAGCGTGGGAGACAGCTGGCAAAGGAGGGGTGACGTGGCAAGAAGGAGAAGGGAGAGAGAGAGAGAGAGAGAGAGAGAGAGAGAGAGAGTAGAAGAGATGACTCACCCTCCGTGCAGGTAGAGCACAACCTTCCTGCTGCTGCTGCTGCTGCTGCTGCCCTCGTTCAGAGCCTCGTTTGTATCGACAACGTCACTGTGCATCACCCACTCTGCACCCACGCGGCGTCCGGGAAACACGGACTTTGCGTCGGGGAGTCCCACGATCCTCCGCACCGCATCCGCCAGCCTCTGGTCCTCCAGCACCTCCACGTCATCCGCAGTGATCGACGCTCCCGTTACAGCCGCCGGGATCGAGAGACCAGCAACGAACCGCACCACCGCCATGCTGTGGTAGCCTTGGGGGGCGTGCGCTCCCATGAAAGATTTGATGGCGGCCTAGAACCAATTGGTGGGGGGGTTAGAGATTGCTTGGGGAGACAGTCCAGGAAGAGCTTACATGGGCGATAGTGGTGAGGAGGTTCCATGAAGGCTTCAGCGGTCCATCCAGCACATGGGCCATGAAAGCTGTCACCACTGCCCACGAACACGTCATGCCCACCAACACCAGGTGCAACAGCAGCGGTAGCGAGTGCGACCACTTTTCCATCAGCGTCGTGGGTGCGGGAGCAGAGGGCATGCCCTGGGAGAAGGCGGCGGGGGGAACAAAGCGCGAAGGGTTGCGGGGATCCCTGCGTCCCCACCACCGCAGAGCTGGATGCAGCTGGCCGTTGCCGCGGCGGCCCTCCTCCTCGATGCCGGTAGCCGCCTTCTTGGTCGTTGTCGTCATGTCCTTCGGTTGAGTTGTTTCTGGAAGGGGAGGTGGTGGAGGATCCTGTGAGAGCGGAGGGAGAGTATTTAAAGGGAAAGCCGAGCCGATCGCCTCTGGCATAGAGGGAGAGGCTTGCCTGTCTGCATTGCGCCCACTCTGCAAATCGGAAAATGCGATCTGCGCCACTCCATTTTCCATTTTATCCGCTTTGTGAAGAGAGAACAGGCGACGATCCAAAAGTGGGAGAAACAAAGGGGCAGGAAGATTTAACTCTATTTTTCCGCTTAATGGGCGGATTTCTATTTTTCCGTGTTTCATTGTTTGTTTCGCGTAAGCACCCCTTTGGTGTCTGTCCTTTTCATAAAGACGCGAATGACGCGTCGGCTGAGCCAACGGGCCTTTGGCATCCGCCGTAACGGTCCTGCCTCTGGCTACGCAAAACGTTGATTCCAATGGGCTTCAAACGCGTCGGGAAATGTTTAAACCTGACCGCTTACGCGTCCGAGGCTCTATCCTTTGTTCACAACTCTTCAGCCCGATGCAAGTCTTGTCGCCGTCAAGGCGGCACGGCTCGGCTGTGGCTAAAGGATATGAATGCTGAGCTTCCACCGAAAGAACGGGCATCGGTCATACTACTAGACCATTGGAGCGCTACCAAAAATCGCTTTTCGGCGAATTTGTCTGACCCGAACAAAAAAAATGTCTTGGAAAATTTCAAAAAATGTTCGGTTGGAAAAACGGAAAATAAACGGTGATTTGTTTGCATTCTGCCACCAAAAATAACGGATGGGAAGCTGAACAAAGTTGAAATTTTAAGGGTCGAAACGCGGTGTTTTCGGACATGTGTAACCATGAGATCCTCCTTTGTCCGAAAAGCCATCCTCTTCAAGCAGCTTGCGCATCGCCGCGCACGACGTCTCGAGTGGGAAAAATATCAGCTGCGACGCAAACAGCAGCTCCTCTACCTTCTCCTCCGCCGGCAGCGGACTTTGATTCGCCTACCCAGCTACCTTCACTCAAGTTCCCTCGTCAAGCCAACGGAATCAAGCTGGTATCAACTTTACCAGACCCGAGATTATGGGAGTTTTCTGAAGGCCCTCTCTCTCACCCCGGAAGCCTTTGATCTCCTTCTCGCGGACTTTCAGAAATACTACGTGGTGAAGTCTGGGCAAGGTCGGCGAGGAAGGCCACCCAGAGTTGCCGACAAGCATATGGTGCTCGGATGTTTGCTTCATTTTTACTCGTCGCCAATCGAGCAGAAAAGCCTCTCTCTACTCTTTGGAATCCCTCCCTCCCCCCTGTCAAGAGTGCTGGCCAATGCTGAGCGAGCCTTGCTGAAGACTCTGAGAGCGTCCAGATTGGGGCGCATTCAATTTCCTTCGAAGGAAACTCAGAGTAGATGGGGTGCTGTAGTAAATGCCAAGGAGCCTTACCTGCATGGGGTCTTTGGATTCTTGGATGGAAAGAACTACCGCATCCAAGAGCCAACCAA